TTGTTTTAAAGAGTTTACATAATTCGGGTGATGAAAAAGAGTTAATTGAAGAGATTAACAATCAAATAAAATCAATTAACATAAAAGGTGACTATAAAGTAATTCCATGTTATGGGATAACTCGACATCCAAATTCAAATAAATTCATGATGGTCATGCAATACGCGAAAGGGGGAAGCCTTCGACAATATTTAAATAATAACTCTAAGAATTTAGACTGGAATAAAAAGTTCAAGATTATATTTTCAATACTCAAAGGACTTAATGATATTCATGATGCCGGATTGATTCATCGAGATCTTCATAGCGGAAATGTTGTATTATTCGACTCTGAAAACGCATGCATTATAGATTTTGGTCTTTGTAGATCGGTTAATTATGATCCTTCAAATGACAATCAAGTTTACGGGATTTTGCCATATATTGCTCCGGAAATTTTGTGTGGATCGAAATATACACAGTCAGCGGATATTTACTCGTTCGGAATTCTTGTGAATGAAGTGGCAACAAGTATGCCACCTCATTACAATTATCCACATGATATTACACTTGTGTCAAGAATTATTGGAGACTTTCGTCCAATGATCGATGACAAAACTACACCTCCATGTATTATTCGATTAATTAAACAATGCTGGGATGCCGATCCTAAGAGAAGACCAACTGCTCGGGACTTGAAAAATCAATTTGATGAATTCAATACTTTTGAGTTGTCACAGGTTCAATCCGAACCTACGCCAAGTAACTTACCAGTTAAAAAATCTTTAGAAGGTATTACTTGGTTTATCTATTTTAAACCTAATAGCCATGTTTAATGATTCAACTATTTTTTAATAAACTATTACATTCTCAGATTTTGCAGATTCTGGAATAATTGATTTACAAATTCCGGATTCGTCATTCTCAGATTTTGCAGATTCTGGAATAATTGATTTACAAATTCCGGATTCATATAAAATTTTAGATCGAATATTTTAATAAGTACTATTTGGGTATGTAGTTAATTAGATCTTGAACAAGATTTTGAATCATTCGGTCAATGTACACCGTAGAGCATTGCATTCAGCATCTATACAAATCAAAAGCACCCTAGCTAACTTAATTTATACTCAGGAAATAGTATGATAGTACCCCGAGATCCTGATTATATGCATGCATACATCTTCTCCAAAATCAAATGAATATGGATGAAACGCATACTCCAAATTGTGCATGGATCGAAAGTATGATTTGTAATAAGGTTTCAGAGCGGTGAAATGGTAGAATAATCTAGTATTAGAGTGAAAATGGTAATGTGTTAGTAGCTGTAATGGTATAAAAGAATATGCAAAAGTGTAATGGGGTATTTACTTTGGTTAGGAGAACATGCAAAAAATGTAATGGGATA